CACCACGAAACCTTGCAGGAGGCATGCTGGGAGTGGCAAGTAGAAACATCCTTGTTATAGTGAGTAATGGGGAGAGAGCGAGGCTCTCTGCAAATCTTGGTACTGGAAAAGTGAAAATCAGCAAAACTGTGGAAGGTGTTCAGATTTTTCATGATAAGGGGCATGGCAGAGCACCAAGTTCTCATCAGAAGGCTGGGAAATGTCTCTCAAAGGAACTGGCTTGTGTGAGTGTGTATGAAGTAAAAGAGGAGAGTTTGGTGGAGGGTAGAAATGAAGCAAACCTGAGATCCTCTTAACCCCTGAAATGACAAAACTTGTCATAAAGGGAAACGTATGACCTTCCATTCTTGTTAAGAATCAGGAGGAAGGGGAAGCAGCAGCACCATCAGGATACTTCTCTTTCCAAAACCCCCAAAGGTTTTTGTGGTTTTGGAATGACTCCAACCCATTGAAGAGGAGCGAACCATTTAACTTCACACCTGTGCACAGTAGAGAGAGGCATAAAGCACATCAGTCTCACTGGCTCGGAACAGGGAGGCTATCCCAGAGCATCTCTGGGACTCTTCAGCTGCCAGCAGCCCTCTGCTGACCCCAGGATCTGGCTTTCCTGCTGTTCCCTGTGGTGACAATACTGCCATTCACAGCCTTCCCTTCAAGTTTTTGGGCAAGAGGTCAGTACAGGGTGCTGGCTATTGAATTGCTTTTGGATTTCTGCAGCACCAGAGCACTCCTAGGAACTTGCTCAGTGGAGCATCCCTGGCTTCAATGCTACACCCTGGTTGTGCTGGGCCCCTCCAGCACACTGCCTACAGCAAAGCACACTCCTCAGGAAGCTTTAAACTTACATCTCAGGACCTCTCTGGCACCATTAATTATGGCTCCTCAATTTATTCAAATTAGGACTCTATATCTAATAAAATAAAAGAACTTAAAGATTACTTTATTGATTTCCAATTGAGGCAGCTTTTCTGTTTATGGACAAGGGCAATCTACAAAACACGGGCTTTAATTAACCCTGGTGAATACAGCTGATGTGAAATGTCAATAGCCTCAAAATATTCAGCACAGACAGTTGAAGGGTCTTCTCAGCTCCCTCATATCCACCCTGCACATTCCCCTGGGTGAAGAGCCACAGCAGAGACACTTCCCTATTGGGCTACCCTGCAACAGGGACAGAAACCTCTGCTACCACAAGCATCTATTGCTGCCAGTGTTGGCTATGCCTGCTGACATGCCTGTCTGTTTGCCTTCATCTAGAGGATTGGACTAGACCTTTGAAGGTCCCTTCCAACCCAAGTCACTCTTGTTCTCCCATGGCTTTGCAGGTAGGCAGGACAAAGACTCACAAGTAACCTTTCGTTCTCTGGCTGTCACATTGTGGCTGCTCCATTGTGCTGGGCCTGTTCCCTGCAACAGCCTCCTGTAACTTAAGGCTTTGCTGCGTAGAGTTTAGTCAGTTACTTGAGGTCAAAGCTACTGAGGTGCCTAAGCAGGGCAGTCCCATCACAAGCTCTGATGCACTTCCGCACTCCCACGGGTGGCAGAATTCATTTTTTTCATCAGCAGTACATGATCCTCTCCTTTTTATCCTCTCCTTTTTGTCCCCACAGGAAGACCTTACAGAGGAGAAAAAAAAACCCCAAATGCACTTTCTGCACAACTCGTGCAAACTTGGGGGGCTGTGTCACACCCATCCCACTCCCTTGGTTTCTGCCTTTGCTCCACCACTGCTGTTGTTCCCTGTGCTAGGGGACAGACTTCAAATGGCCCTATCCTTCAAAACCTGCCCCAGGGATTTGAACCTGCAGCATCTTTTGGGGAAAAGAAAGAACCAGCAATCAGGACCTCTGGTTGGCCAAAGGTGCAACAGAAACTTGCCTGTGGGAAAGTGTGTCTCACTGCCTCACATGGCAGGGCTTCTGTAGCAGAGATGCCAGCTTTTGGGGCCTATCCTGGTTTTAGCTAGGGTAGAGTTAATTTCTTCTCAGTAGCTGTTACAGTGCTGTGTTTTGAATTCAGAATGAGAATGCCATTGAGAACACACTTGGTTTTTGCCAAGTCTTGCTTATCCTAACTCAAGGGCAGTTTTCTTCCCCTTGTCTCATGCTCTGCCAGCGGGAGGGAGCATAGCTGGGACAGGCCACCTGAACTGACCAAAGGGATATTCCACACCATAGAACATCATGCCTGGTATATAACCAGGAGCAGTTACCCAGAAGGGGGACTGAGCTGTGTTCGGAGAGTCTGGTGTCGGTCAGCGGACGATGAGCAATGGTATTGTGCAGTACTTGTTTGGTTTTTTAAAATATCCTTATTATTATTTACCATTATTATTATTATATTTTCAATTATTAAACTGTTCTTATCTCAACATACAAGTTTTACTTCAATTCTCCTCCCCATTCCACCAGGGGTGTGGGGGAGAGGGAGGAGAGGGGAGGGATTGAGCAAGCGGCTGCATGGTGTTTAATTTCCATCTGACAGGGCCACATCACAGCACACAAGGGAACAGCACGAAATAGCACAACTACAGAACTCACTCCCACAAAAAAAAACCCTAAAAAAACTACTAAATAAAACTGGTAGGGAAGAAAGAGCTATGTGGGCAAAGAGCATTTTGCTAGTTTTCATCTCTGCTTTCCACTGTGCATTTATTTTCTCTAGATTTGTGGCTTTCTGATAGAAAGGCAACTCTGTTGTTGTGTTCTTTTTTATTATTAACAACCTTCACCTTTCTCATTACATCAGTAGGACACTTCCTCGGTCAGGGCTGCTGTTTCTCTAATGAACATGGCTCATTTGTCTGTCTCCCTCCCTCTCCACTCTACTTTTTGTCTGCTTGCTCTTTGGGTAGTAATTTGGTGTGTTGAGCTCTCACCACCTCCGCTGCCCCTGGGGCTGGAGTTCTGACGATGCTAAACAGTTAAAATGCAATGCAATTACAGGCAGTGCAGAATAGCAGAGAATAAGCCAGCAAAAATTCAGCCAGGCATAACGCTGCAGAGACGGTGTGCCTGTCAGTCTCCAACTCCAGGAGATAATTTGGGCTTTTTAAGAAGCAATAATTGAGCCTCTTGCATATGCCACAGTTATGAACTAGTCAAAAGCCTGTTTGCTCTGCAGCCGAGAGTACCAGATGGATTGAATAGTCCCTGCAGTTCTTCAGGGGTGCCAGCTTTACACTTCAAGAATTTCAAGCTCCTGTAGTTGTAAGTTATTCCTTTGACAGCTTTTATGCATAAGAGTGCCTTGTCTGAATTTAGCTGGCAAAGTGAGGGAGGAAGGATGAGGAAGAGTTTGTCAAATGAAGCCCAGAGCTGAATTTGGTTGCTCACATCATCCCAAGAAAAACCCACGTGAGAGAGAATACCATCTCTTACCCTCAGCCCTCAGATTATGGCAAGTGCAGGACTCGGCCACAGGTGCCCCATGCCATCCAGTTTGATCACACTCAGACTCTTTCAGTCCTATTTTCATTCATTCCACATGCATATTTCCAAAGAAGACTCAGTGCTGTGAAGCTCAGCAAAGAGCTGCTACTAGAAACAAAGTAAGTGGAGGGAGACTTTTCCCCTGGGATTTAGCAGCTGACCTCAGTAGAGGACACCCAATGCAAAGGGCAGAGAGGAGGTGATTGCAGGTACCTGCAGCTGCTTTGCTGACCATCAGGGATGATTTGCCTTGCAAGTCAAATCCCAAGGGTGAGCTACAGAAATCTCTAAAAGATTACCAAAAGAAGCCCCCAAAAGATTATATTCTTGACTAATGATAATTTGTACTAGTCTCACTGAGGATTGCATTTCACTTCTTATGTCAAAATGTGCCTTTGCTTGACTCAAGCAAAGGTTATGGCTTCAGATATTTTTCCCAAAATCTTCACAGAGAAGTGCAGGTAGATAGTCTATTAGAGAAATATATATTAAGACTGTTCAGAGTAAGTAAATACATTTTTGAACCCCTCTGATGGTAGGCAGTAGTGAGTGGCTTGTTCTGCAGAACAAAAACCCAGGCATGTTTCTTACTGCTGGGGCTACTTTGCTTTGGCTGATTTGGAAGTGTAGGTTCCGCTTAGCCCTGCAGTTACAGAAAAGACCACCTTTCAACACCTTTTAGTCCCAAAAATATGGACAGGTACATGCTGTCAGCACTTGCTGGCCATGTCCCGTGTATCTCCCTGTGACTAATGGGGATATTTGCTGCCACCCAGCACTCTGGGTCCACATCACCACCCTGGATCTAGGAACCACTGCTGGCTCCTCGTTCCCTCTGGAGACAATTTGCTTTTGCAGTAGGAAAGGTAAATGGTGATGATGGTGATGATGATGATGATAGTGATGGTAACAGCCATGGTGGCGGTGCACTCCCCAGCGGTTGCTTTAGGTCTTTGCTTCACTGCTTTTGCTCACTGCTCTCTTCTGTTCTGCAGGACAAATGCTGGACACAGCAGTTCACAGTGCTACATTCTTGCGATTGCCCTGAAGTTTACAGGCCTTTCAGAAGAGGAAGAGCTTCACATAAGCTGACAGTGCTGCTGTCATCAGCTGACAGTGGAACATTATAACCATTGTAACCATATATAAACATAGCAAGGAGCAGCTTGGACCGTAAACAAGCTCTCTAGATACCTACCAGTTACTCTCAAAGAAAATAGTTTTCTTTGGATGTGTGCGCAACCTGCTGCTCTTTCAATCTATGGAGCACAGAAATTACAACATTTGCAGCAAAACATCCACCTGAGTGCATGCTGAGAAATAGAAGGCCTCTCATCCCAAGCACTGCCTGTTTCTTTTCTCCCATACAACACACACTGGTCACAAGAACCACCAAGTTTATGCCTTTAGCACCTTTCCACCAAAGTCAATGACTACAGTGTGGTGAAAAGAATGAGCGCTTCTGACTGGTCAAACCAAGAGTGTTATTTCCACCTACTGAAAGATGTCTCTATCCACCAGCAAAGTCCGACATAGATGAGCAGACACACTTGACTATCTTTAAGTTAATCAATACTTTATTTATAATTAAATTCAGGAAAAATGGAACTATATACAAGAATAACTATATACATGAAGGAAAAGGTCTTTACATGGCCTATCCCCCAAGATCCATCTGAGTCTGTCCTGAAGTGCTCATATATAAATGGAATGATACTGTTCATGAGTGAGTTCTGTCCTGCAGATTGGACACGTGTTGGCAGTCTCAAGGGCAACAGGGAGGCACTGACTGCAGAAGACATGGCCACACTGGGTTGACAAAAACAGTCGTTCACTTTGCAGAATCTGAAGGAAAGAAAACCACAGCATGTATTGGGAGGAAAGAATTCCAACTTGCTGCTCTGTTGGCAGCAGAGAAAGGAGGCTTGGAATATCTGGAATCAGTCCATTACTGCCAGAATGATGAGGGACCCAGAGAGCTGCCAGTGCCATCTTGGCAGGGGTTTCTCTCTCTGTGTACAGCACCAAGAAGTGACTTGTGGAGCTTCACAGCAAGGCTTGTGCTTCAAGGCAGCTGCCCGTAGCAGCTCACATAAGACAACTGAGTTGCACAGCTCCCCCTCTACTCCCTCCTCTCTCCAACAAAGCAGAAAGGATGACAACACATGAATCCTTACCTCTGAGTAAAAATCCATGCAAATCGGACACCTAATGGTACCCTCTGGCCATGCCCTAGAGAGAACAGAACCACAAAGAACATGCAGCCATTAATATCACTGCGCATCGAGGGTTACCGATATATAAAATGTCATATAATCATCTGACTGCACTGACTGGCCATTGTCCATTTGATTTGAAGAACCCTGCAAATCTTTAGCTCTCTGTTTGCTGCATGTAACGAGGAGTTTGGATCTCCCTGATGTGAAGGAAACAGTATCTTGGTTTTCATGAGGAGAAAGGTGCAGTCAGTCACCCTGCTCTAGGATTTGAAGTAACAGGAACCTCTAGCGCTGGGCAGTCAGTGTATGGCAGCATTAATCTCCAACAGGTCATCAATAACAGCTTTGTAACTAAAGCATGGAGCTGTCCTCTGGGAACCATTAATTGCAGAAGGAAACAGGGCCTGATGCTACAGAGTAACACTGCAGGCGGCCTTGATAAGTCCAGCCCCAGGAAGGACCCTTTGGTCAATGTTAAATGTGGCAGCACCAAGCTCTTTCAGCCTGGGCTAAACAAAGCAGGAAAGTGCACTCAGTAGCAGAGAAGCTTGAGACTCAAGGAACAAAATATTCCTTTTTTTATATTAACCAAGTGGTGGGATTTGTTCACCGACATACTTAAGCAACCAACACTTGAAGATCTACAAATCCAATGGCAAAATGCACTATGGTTTAGAAGAGTAGAAGCCCTTTAGGTGGTGTATTTAAGGCCTGACACCCAAAAGTACCATACTCAAGTTCTCTCCTACATTGCCTTTTATCAATCCAAAAGGTTCAAATATTAAAACCTGCATGGAATTTGCCCAGCTGCTGCTTCCGATCCCATGATGCCAAGCCTCATCAACACCAATTTCCATATCTGACATCACTACTAGAGCTTGGCAGGAAAAGCAAACGCAATACTTTTTGAGCTATGGCCTGTCATTAATCCCCCTTTCTTGCCATACCCCCATACTTGTCTTTAAGGTTCTATGCAAAGTTGTGCATCTGCCTTGGGCTGCCTTTTTCTCCTGAAGTGCAAATGGTATCATTTGATCATCATGCAACACAGGAGAAAGAGGGAAATAAGTAGAGTAATTGAAGGCTTCAAAGATAAGCCAGGCCATAGCAGTATAACTTCATCCTGCCCCTATTAAAAAAAAAGAAAAAAAGAAAAAGGCAAAAAATTCAGTCACATACACATCATTATCTATCGCTTCATCTTCATCATTACTACCCAGTACAGAGCTGTCTGACTGTCGCTGGCTTCTTAGTGTAACGTTTCTCCTTTGTTGTTCATATTCTGTAATTTAATTTTGATAAGTTAGATCTATTATTCTCTCTCTCCCTGAAACTATGCTTGAAATGTATCATTATAAATAGTCTGTAATGGTTCCTATTCAGCTGGGTTAAAAGCAATCTTAAACAAATTAGTTTCCTAAATATTAAGGCTGAACCCTTCCAGACATTGTGACTCTTCTGCTACAGACTGACACAAAACATTTGCTCTGTTCACTCTACAGACAGCTAAAAATATGACCTGAGAGACTCTCAGTGTCTTAAGTTCCATAGAGTTGCACTACCTGTAAATAAATTTGCCCTATAAAGGGAAGCTCCTTCCCCAATTTTTACTAACAGGGTCTGCTGCGATCCTGTGGTGAGGAAGGGCAACAATTGCTGTCTGATGGGGGAGAGAGAGGTCTGCAGTCAAGTTTCGAAGGAGCACAGCAGCTTAGCACATACATAACAAAAAAGCCTGGAAAAACAGAGTGCTTTGTTCAGAAAGTTTCATAAGGGACGGAAGAGATGCTTAAATCTAAAACTGTTCATTCTAGAGGTGCTGTGCTTCCTCATTGCTGTATGATGCTAAACCGTTGCACTCTTTTCGTCTGCATTAAACCAGACCTCACCACTCAAAGGAAGTTTCTATCCAATGTGTCTTGTTAAGGACAATCCTTGGAAATTATAAAAAGACTTGAAGCAGTGTTTCCTTAGAAATTGTAATCATTTCCCTCCTGAGTTAAGGTAACTTGAAAATGGAGTTATATTGCCCAGTTTCAAGGGAAATCAATTTTTAATGGCCTGGTCTGTAAAATCCAGAGTGTTAAGATTTTTAACTCTCAGAAACTGCAGGTAACAATGATCTCTGCTACTCCAGTGTCCATGTAACAATAATCAAGTACTAACCAATTACAATTACAGAAAGTTTCACCAAATTAAAATTTCTTCCTGCCTAAGTATTCAGCTACAACTTTTATTGCAAGGATTTTCCACTGTGTCTGATAGTGGCTTCCAAACAAAGATTGGATGCTTTCTCTAAGTCACTGGCCAGAGGCTTTAGCACTGTCCTTTGCCTTTTGCTAACAGTTTCAATCCCTGCTGCTAGAGTTTCTTGGAAAAGACAAACAAAAAATAATGATTAAATTTAAGACAATTCCATTATCAACTGTAAAACATTAACTCACCTTCAAGAAGCTTCATCAATACATATGTGAAGGGAGAGAAAAGAAAATACAATTAGATGTAGTTGTGAACTCCTGATGTTGCATGCAAACAGCAGTTCAGCAATGCAGTTACAGTGAGGAATAAATGGTTATTGCCCTCTTGTTTTGGGTAAGAATGTTCAAAACAGGAGTCAATCAGCTGCTGTGCTGAAAACAAATAAATAAGTGGGTCATCTTGGTTCTCCTTCCATTTGTGGGGTAGAAATAAAGGCAATATAGGAAGAACCTGAACACCCCCCTCCCTGCTCCCCTGCTTCAGTTCCCTAGCTGGATTTAGGCTGGAGGTGTTTGTTTCCCTCTTTCTTGCCCAAATAGGCAAATTCAGTTGTGATAGCCACAAACACTTTGTGTAAGATGAACAGCTGCTGAAGAAAGGAAACCACAACAGGGACTGGGAGGAAAGAATTCCTGTTGGCTGCTCCGTTGGCACCAAGCAAACAAGATCTGCAATCTGGAGTATCTACAATCTGTCAGTCACTGCTAGAACTATAAGGAATCCACTGCCATTGTGAAAAGGGTTTCTCCCTCTATGTACACCATAGCATCCCACATAAGACAAGAGTTGCACAGCTCTCCCTCTCCCCCCCCACAAAGCAGAAAGGATGACAACATGTGGATCCTTACCTCTGAGTCCTCATCCACCCAAAACAGAGAACTTGCAGGGCCTGCTGGCCATATGCTAGAGAGAACAGAATCAGAAAGAACAGGCAGACATTAATTTCACCAGGGTTAATCAATTGCATCCAGGGTTACTGATAAATAAAATCTCAGAAAATTAAACATCTGCTGTTCTGATTTAGCAACATCCCAGCCCAGCAAAACAATCATTTGAAGAATTTTTATGTACTGTAGTGTAGCTCAAGTCATTCTGTAAGAAACATTCAATAAGGATGTCATGAATAGAGGAGAAAAAGTTTTCTGATGTGTTTTGCTGGTTGGTTTTTTTTTTAATTAGTTCTCTTCCAGACAGGCCACTATATTTCAAGTCAGATTTTTTCATGCAGGATCAAGCAGACCTCAAAAGCTTGGGAGAAACAGGTTTCTACTGTAGAGCAGAAGTTGGACTTTAGAGAGAGACTTTCTCACATACTCATCATAATTTCCTTGTTCCTCTTCATTGTCACTCATCAGTAGCACTGCTGAATTATCTGCTGCTCTGAAAAAACGTGGGTATTGCTGGCTCTGCTGCCACTGCTGCAATGGGGTAGAAATGGAGGCAGCTTAGGAACCACCTGAACACTCTCCTCCCTGCTCCCATTTAAGTTCCCTGATTGGTTTTGTGCTGGAGACCTTTCTTTCCCTCTTTTTCCCCTAAACGGGCAAATTCAGCTGTGGTAGCCATAAATACTTTGTGTTAAATGAACAGGTGTTGAAGAAAGGAAATCACAACAGGAACTGGGAGGAAAGAATTCTACTTTGCTGTTCTGTTGGCACGAGGCAGACAGGACTTGGAGTATCTGCAATCTGTCAGTCACTGCTAGAACTGTAAGGAACACAGATTTTCCAGTGCCCCAGTGGAAAGGGTTTCTCTCTCTACCCACACCTTCAAGAAGTGACGTGGGGAGACATGGTAGTACGAGCTCTGAAGCAAGGTCTGTGCTTCCAGCCAGCTCCCCATAGCATCCCACAATAGACAACTGAGTTGCACAGCTCCCCCTCTGCCCCATTCTCCCTCCCACAAAGCAGAAAGGATGACAACATGTGGATCCTTACCTCTGAGTCCTCATCTACCCAAACCAGAGAACTAAATAGACTTGCTGGCCATGTGCTAGAGAGAACAGAACCAGAAAGAACATGCAGACATTAATTTCACTGTCCATCAAGGGTTACAGATACATAAACGGTCAGAAATTAAAACAACCCCAACTGCAATTTAGTAACATCCCTGCCCAGCAACACACTAATTCCCAGAGCTTTTATGTACGGCAAGAATTTCAGCATATAGCAAGCCATTCTGTAAGAAACAATGATGTCATGAACAGGGAAGAAACATTTCTGCAGGATTTTCTTTAATTACATCTCTTCCAGACATGCCATTATATTCCAGTTTGAAGGTTTTGCACAGAATCAAACAGAATCCAAAAGCTTGAGAATAACCTGTTTGTACTGTATATCAGAAATTAGACTTTAGACAGTCACTTTATCTGTCACATACCCATTATTGTCTCTTAGTTCCTCTTCGTCATCACTCATCAGTAGCACTGCTGAATTATCTGCTGCTCTGAGAAAACGTGGGTATTGCTGGCTCTGATACTGCAATAGGGTAGAAATGGAGGCTTAGGAACTTCCTAAGTTACTAAATGGAGGAGAATCTTAGGAACTACCAGAACACCCTTTGCTCTGTTCCCCTGTTTCAGTTCTCTAATTGGATTTAGGCTGAAAGTATTTCTTTCCTACTTTCTCCCCCAAATAGGCAAATTCAGTTGTGATAGCCACAAACACTTTGTGTAAGATGAACAGCTGCTGAAGAAAGGAAACCACAACAGGGACTGGGAGGAAAGAATTCCTGTTGGCTGCTCCGTTGGCACCAGGCAAACAAGATCTGCAATTTGGAGTATCTGCAATCTGTCAGTCACTGCTAGAACTATAAGGAATCCACAGATCTGACACTGCCATCATGGAAAGGGTTTCTCCCTCTATGTACACCACCAAGAAATTACTTGGAGGGTCATGCAAGTTGGACCATCACAGCAAGGTCTGTGCTTCCAGCCAGCACCACATAAGAGTTGCACAGCTCCCCCTCTGCCCTGTTCCCCCTCCCGCAAAGCAGAAAGGATGACAACATGTGGATCCTTACCTCTGAGTCCTCATCCACCCAAAACAGAGAACTTGCAGGGCCTGCTGGCCATATGCTAGAGAGAACAGAATCAGAAAGAACAGGCAGACATTAATTTCACCAGGGTTAATCAATTGCATCCAGGGTTACTGATAAATAAAATCTCAGAAAATTAAACATCTGCTGTTCTGATTTAGCAACATCCCAGCCCAGCAAAACAATCATTTGAAGAATTTTTATGTACTGTAGTGTAGCTCAAGTCATTCTGTAAGAAACATTCAATAAGGATGTCATGAATAGAGGAGAAAAAGCTTTCTGATGTATTTTGCTGGTTGGTTTTTTTTTAATTAGTTCTCTTCCAGATAGGCCACTATATTTCAAGTCAGATTTTTTCATGCAGGATCAAGCAGACCTCAAAAGCTTGGGAGAAACAGGTTTCTACTGTAGAGCAGAAATTGGACTTTAGAGAGAGACTTTCTCACATACTCATCGTAATCTCCTTGTTCCTCTTCATTGTCACTCATCAGTAGCACTGCTGAATTATCTGCTGCTCTGAAAAAACGTGGGTATTGCTGGCTCTGCTGCCACTGCTGCAATGGGGTAGAAATGGAGGCAGCTTAGGAACCACCTGAACACTCTCCTCCCTGCTCCCATTTAAGTTCCCTGATTGGTTTTGTGCTGGAGACCTTTCTTTCCCTCTTTTTCCCCTAAATGGGCAAATTCAGCTGTTATATCCACAAACACTTTGTGTTGGGATAACAGTTGCTGAAGAAAGGAAACCCCAAACCCAAACCTGCTTTTGGTGTAGCTGGAGCTGAGTCATGCAGATTCTGTCATAAAGTTTGAGGCCTTTTCTTTGCAAAGACTCAGGAATAGCCCTATCAGGAGATACCTTTGTGCTATGCCTGCTGCATGTTCTTTGCGTGGCAGCAGTGGCATCCCAAAACTGAAGAAATAAACTACACTGTGGGCCGGATCAAAGACTATTCTTTCAAATTGCAAGAAAATTGAAAAGAAAAAGAAGTGACTTTTTTAAAGACTTCATGGAGTAATAAACAGGACTAGTTCGTACCCCAGTCAGCTGCACGTGCACTTGGCACCTCAGTGACAGGAGTACCTTAAACTGATGTTGCAGCTAAACGCTTCTTATTTGGGAAGTCAGAGACTTCTTGTCCTCTCCTTTGCTTTTTCTTTAAATCAGTGGAGCAACAAGCTCTTTTAGATTACTCTTCAACTCAAGTCAAAGTGATGCTCAGAGAGATACCCAGTTAGATGCCAGAAGACAGGCCCAGGAGCACAATAAAAAACTAATTTCAGTGCAAGATGGAGAGAAGTGTGCCATTCACTGCTTACCACAACTGAATTATCATTAGTTAGGTCACTGACTTCAGGCTCAGAAGATCTATCTGTGAGATCTATGACTTCTTCAACAGCTGAAAAACGGAACATTACAATCAAGATCAGAGACTGCAGCACAATGAAATGAGTTGCCACTGTGGAACAGGCTGAGGTTGGATTCAACTTTTCCCTGGGTCTTTTCTCTTCAGGAATGTGTCCAACATTTCATTCAAAGCTTTGCCCTCAAGAGTCCACAGAGAGCACCATCAGCTCTGTTTCCTGCAAGGGGCAGTGCAAGAGAAACATCAGCTGAGCTCCTCACACAGTTCTGTTGGATGACAACAGCTCACAGGAGGTACACACCAAAAGATGATTCATCTAACATAGGGTAATGTTTAGCATACAGAAAAAAAGACCCACACCAAAACTGTAATCATGGAGGGTACCCTAATTTTACATGCTGTACATGTTCCCTTCAGGGATGGGGCACAGCTAATGACACTTTTTCTTATCTTCTTCCAACTTGGGAGATCCCAGATTCACTTTGCCACCCTCTGTAGTGGCAGCTGCAGTACCTCAGAGTAGACATTCAGACTTTGAGCAGCACTTGAGGACCTTTGCTACACAGCTCATCTCCCACTAGTGGTGAATGTATTACAGCTCAGTAACAAACCAAAACAGTTGTCAGAAGGCTTGTTGTTCAGAGATGTCATACTAAGCCCTTCCTAAAATCCAAATTTCCCTTCTTTCCCAGTAAAAGGCCTAGAAATGGGCAAAAGCTCACATTCAACTGGACCCCAACCCTTCAGAAACAGTTTTTGTTCTCACAAAGCTCAGAAAAAAGCGTACCACTTTCTCTGGGGTCTATTGGCTCTGTTTCTGAGGCTCCACCTGTGTTAGAAGCCACCAGCCTTCTTCGTTTCCGAGCTTGTCTGGAATCAACTGGTTCCCCACAGCGCTTCGGCTGCCTCTGAGAGAGAACAAAGCCTTAGCATTTTCTTTGGGAGTAATATTAACATGGCCCTCATTTTTGCAACAACAGTGAAAGTACATGAGGATACAGAAAACGCTCCCACAAGGGTTGGAATATGCATCAAAATGGTGCTGTGGGCCATTCCAACCAGAGCACGTGACATCAAGGAAAGGACATTCCCCCGATCTCTTACCAGTTGCCTCAAAAAGAAAAAACCTGTCCTGATGGCTTGCAAATGAGGAGAGTAGTTCACAATTATATCAGACTGTTGCTCACACTGTAAGCATTCCTGAACTATTACAAGCACCCAGAGAGATTCAAAATCTTCTATATCCCAGAACATGAAGTTACATGAAGTTTTAATAGGCTTCTGTTCCCATGCATTTGCTACAAACTCTTGAAATCCCTTCTAGAACACCCTGGAAAACATGTTTCAAGAATCAGATTTGCATTGAGCAGTGAAATACTTACTGTGCTCATGGCGTTTCGTGATCTAAAACCACTGGAAAAGCAAGCAGACAAACACTGAAAAAAAGAATGTCAGGGAAGCTACAGCAATCAATCCCTTGGGTTCCTTTAGGTAGCACACTGCTAAAAAGCTCTGATTTCTCAGGGTCAGAGAATGATGTTCTTCCAAACCTACCAGAAAAGCAGAGAGATTATCTTTCTAGAATGCCTGTTCTTTGAGACACTCCCCTGCTCCAAGATTCCCATTCCCAAGTCACCAGGTTCTGCCCAAGGCTAGAGGGGAAGTCCATGAGTTTGGTACTTGATCCCACCTGCAGCTGGACCTGAAGCCCAGAATAGTCCTTCAGCCTCAGAAATCTCTTCAAAAATCATCTGCTCTCACCTGTACACTCAGTCCAGAGTTTTTCTCACAAACGTCAGCAAATCGCCTTCTGATCCCACCTAGGATGGAGAAGACAGATGCTCTGCATCTGATGCCCAGCAGAGAATCCATCAACTGACTTAACAGACTCCTGGTAACCGGAGTCCTCGAAGCAGGACTGTCCATGTCAACCGCTTGGTAACATTCCATGCCCAGGTAGCAGGAGTGCACTTTGCACCCTCATAGAGTTCCAGAATGCCTTGCCTTGGAAGGCACCTTGAAGATCACCCAGTTCCAACCCCCTGCCATGGGCAGGGATGCCACCGGCTGGATCAGGGTGCTCAGGGCCCTGTCCACCTTGGCCTGGAATGGGGCCTTCCAAGGATGGGACATCCACAGCTTCTCTGGGCAGCCTGTTCCAGGGTATCACCACCCTCACAGTTCTTCCTAACATCCGATCAAAATCTCCCGTCTTCCAGTTGAAACCCATTCCCCCTTCTCCTATGACTCTCTGACTCCTTTAGACACTGGAAGGCTGCAGTGAGGCCTCCCCAGAGCCTGCTCCTCTCCAGGCTGGACAGCCCCGGCTCTCCCAGCCTGGCTGCAGAGGAGAGCTGCTCCAGCCCTCTGAGCATCTCTGTGGCCTCCTCCAGCCCTGCTCTAACAGGCACATCCTGCCTGGATGCAGCACTCCAGATGGGGCCTTCCGAGGGCAGCTCAGGAGACATTCACCTCCCTCCACCTTCAGCCTGAGTAACACTGTAGCCTTTCCATGGCTAAAGAAACCCCACCAAATGCCCTGCAAAAAAAAAGAAACTTAAACCCTTCCTTAGCCTTCGTCCTCCATGTTTATTCTTCTGTTGCTGAAAACTCTTATGAGACTGTTTTAACTTTAACCCTAGTAAATAGCAATTAAAATTAAATCAAAAGATTTTTTTTCAAACTGCTGAAAATCTAACAATTTAGATCCTTATTTAAAGTCTTTGAAGTCTTGATGTTTTCAGGTGTTCAACTATTCCTCTGCCAGCATTTCACAATAGGGCTGGGAGGAGGTTTGCTCTGCTCCTGGGGACATCATCTTCCTCCCAAGCTCCTGCTCTGCTTTGAAAAAAAGTCAAATTAAAATTCCGTTTGCCTTCTAGCCAGTCTGCCACTGGACCTGCATTCAGAGGGATCAGCTGAGGCAGCAGGCCTCTCTCAGCCCTGCTGGATACAGGGATGCTCCTCAGCCTCTGGTCCCATGGGTGTTCTCAGGTGTGGGGAGGATGGTGGAAAGTCATCCAATGCTGTGGATAGCATAAGGATATTTTTAGCTCATGCTCTACATGAGGAGGATCATTTCTTACAAAAATTTCTCTGTTATTACAACTGTTGCTTTTAGGTAATTGGCAAAGTGCTGATTGTTTAAGGATGGGTGAGGATGACCTTCCATTTTTCTCCATCCTGTGTCTGGGAAGTGACACATAGGCTTGTTTCTGTCACCGTATTTGCATCCTTCATTTCTCATATTCAGTGCCTGGAAACTGACACGAGGTACGTAATTATTCATCTATAAAATATACATTTGGAATTGCTCTAGCACTCTAGTATTTTTTTTATCAAGCATTAAATCTCCTTTATGATTTCTTTTATCTAGACCTCTGCCCTTTGGGCCCAACATTTTTGGAAAGCAAAAACGTTTAAGTTGAGATGAAGCACAAGTGGATATGACACATCCCACATGTTAAAACAACGAGCCTGTCCACTCATGCTCCAGGCACAGCTGAGGTTGGCTGAGTGGACTCGGCACCACTTGTGTTTCAGGGAAGGACTGGATGGCTTTTAGCAGGAATGTATCTTCGGGGTAAGGGAAGAGGGAACACTGAGGAAAAGGAGGGGCACCTTTTAATAAGTCAAACATTTGAAGGCTACTGGGCTTGATCTCCCTCATCGCTGCTAGACAATCGCAGCAGGAGGCTGGTAGGCCTTTACTGTGAGGCCCAACATTTTTTAATTAAACCTGCTATTGAAAGTATTCATCACTCAATGGTGGGACAGAGAGAAACTTTCATCCCTTCTCTGCACATCCTAGGGAAGCTGTAAAGGTCACATACCTGTTTTATCTCGTCCCATGCGGGCCAGCTTTGAAGCAAGGTGTAAGACCACTGAAACAACCCCTGCCTTTCCATTTTGGGAAGGAAGAAGTTTACATCTTTCAACTTTCAAAAATAAAATGTTAATTATGGCAAACAGCCTAAACTAAGCCCACATTCAGCTGGCTTGGTGTATTAATCACCTGGCGGTACAGCATCAGCATTTTCACATGATTGGCTACAGTTTGTCAGGAATGTTTAGAAGGAAAAGTCACCTCAGGAAGTGAGAAACCCACAGTTCCCTGGATACGGGTTGTCAGCTCTGTACTCCCCCAGATCAGGGCTACCCTGGGTGCCAGAGCAAGGACCATAAAGTAATTTAAGAAGAGTGGCTGTAGTATAGGATGTCATATACCAAAGTAACCTGCTGCATGGCAATCACAAGAAAATCTACAATGACATGAGAAAACCAACTTGTCACCCCAGTTGGGTCGGTGCTGCCTCTCTCTCTGACTGACTGTCTTTAATAACCATAGTGGTTTTGAGCAGTGGGTAGACAAACAACTGCACTCCACAAGGCAGCAGAGGTCCAGTAACCAGACCAGTCCTTCAGCCCCATCACCATGGCCATGGTTGCCCACAGGGCTCCTACCAACAGGCAAGTTGGTTTCTCTACCATAGGGACCCATCCAAGTGAAAGAGGTTCTGCGTTGTCCTCATGGGCCACCAAGGATGTGTGACTGGTTATTGATGGGGGGGGCGAGACACCCGGCTCTCCACACGGCTCAGCACAGGAACAGGGTTGCACTCCCCAGAGCAACCCTGCAGACCAGTCCCTCTAAATCCACTATAGGGATGCAGGGAAATAGGCAAGAATTACCAAAAAAAGCCCCAGAAAGATGTTAATGTTGACAAATAATAATTTGTACTAGTCTCACTGAGGATTGCATTTCACTTCATGTGTCAAAATGTGCCTTTGCTTGACTCTAGCAATGGCTATGACTTCAGAATATGTTTCCCAAAATCTTCACAGGGGAGTGCAAGTCTATTAGAGAAATACCTATTAAGACTGTTCAAAGTAAGTAAATACGTTCTTTAACTCCTCTGATGGTAGGCATTAGTGGGTGGCTTGTTCTGCAGAACAAACATGTCTCTGATTTCCTTCTCCCAGTTTTTCTAATTCTCCACAGATGTTTGAAATTCTTCTGTAGAGTCTACATGGGCTGGAAAGCTGAGCAAGATTTATACCTTGCTTTGAATCTGAGACAACATCTATGAGTGTGCTTGTAGGAAAATGTGCATATAAGGCTCTTCAGGCAGTAACTGAATGGATAATGTTTTTCCATATAGCTTCTGTTGCTTTTTCATACTCAAGACCTAACACTTGGAAAACTCATCTTTGTAAACTGCTTTCTGTGAAGGTAGGTATCATATAGTGCTTTATATAATGTTAGGCAAAAATTACCTTTAAGGATTGGGTCACTATGGTAACCGTTCTTATCTCAGAATCAAATAGCCACTATAGTTGTAATTAAACAATATATGATTTCTATGAAGAATAATTCTGAATTATAATCCATTTTCTGTCACATGCTGGAGTTATTTTTATTGCCCTCAAAGGCATCAGGATTTGTTATAATTCAGCAATGCAAAACTTTATAGAGACTATAACCTACGTTGAATCTACTACCAGAAATTGCAGTCAATGACTTTTGACTTCAGTCTCTTAAATAGTTCAACAGACTCCAGCAAAACATCAGTAACATTTTTTGTGGAAAGCAGAAGATAAACAAGGTCTTCTGAAACTTGCATTTTGTCACAGCTAGACATGTATCCTGAGCCCAGTGGTGCACAGAGAGGGGCCCAGGTTTGCTGCTGTATGCAGGTGGGTGGGCCACAAATTCATATTTTCCTTTGGCTTAAGCAGAAGCTTTATTTAAAAACAAAAAAAAAAAAAAAAAAAAAAAAAAGAAGAAAAAATGAAGAAATAAAAAAAAAAAAAGGAAGAAGAAGAAGTACGTTCCTTGGGTACTTTTGCCTATCACTTCTGTTCCCAGGACCAAGGTCATTCATGGAAACTTTGGCAGACTGCTGAGATATTGTCAACATTCATAGGTAAATCACTGTGACTGCCTTTAAAAACTATAACATGAGTAACAGGAGTATAATGCTCCACATGGCCTCAATCAAGCCACTGGCAAAGCTGATTTTCAGATCAAGGGGAGTAAACCCACCCTTGTGATTAGGTGAGCTGCACTGGCTGGCTCTGATGGGAGTTGTCCACAGGAAGGAGAGAAGCTCCCAGCGCTAATAGGAACCATTTCCAAAGGGGTAGCAGAAGGGTGGTCCCATTCCTTTCTCATTGTCCAGGGTCTGCACCAGGTCAGGAGACTTTTAGTAGGATTTTTTGGCACACACCCCAATAATTGTTTTTTGGGGGGGACTGGAGTTTGTTCTTTTTGGAGCAAATATTCACCTATGTTCTATGTAAATAGTAAAAGAACTGTTTGCCTAAATATTTCTCTTTTTTTTCTCTTTCCAAGAGGGAGGCAGGACAAACATTTATTTTCCTAAAAACCTGTAAATTTTTGAGGCACTTGTTTCTCCATAGTACAGTTGTGAATCCCTGTGGACTCTTGAGGGTTTTCTCCTGGAAGTGGATTTACTGCTCAGTGACTGCAGTTATTACATCACTACATATAGAAGCCTTTTTGGTGACTAAAATGAGAAGTTTGTTCTTCCTGGTCTGGAGAAGCAGACTCCTGCACTCCAGATGAGCAGTAATGTTAGCTTACTGAGCCATGAACTAATAATTTTTATACTTTCAGAGCTGTTCTGGCCACCCATCCACCCCAGAGCTCTCAGTGGAGGAAGAGCTACAAATCATCAAGTTGCCTGAAGACTTTTGGGAAAGGACCCTGTAAAAAGCCCAAACCACAGTCCCCTAGAAGAGCCCAAATACATCGTTGGAGCCTGAGCACTGCACCCAGGACACGGGCAGTCCTGCCTGCAGTGGCACAGCTGCTGCCCTCATTTTGGTTCTGGCACAGGGATGCTCTCAGCATCTCAGCCTTCCCACCACACTGGCTAACACTGTGGGCTTTCCAGGTGAAT